CTCTTTTTCCACAAATGTTCCCATTCCAAATCAATATTTCTACCTAAATCTTTAGACCACGTAATCATAACAGTTTTTAATCTGGTTATCTATTAAATTGTATTCTAAAATAAAATTATAGAGCCTGGATATGAGGCCTTTGTTGCCCTTCTCAAAGATAAGTTCTAACTCTGACTTTTTAGAGGCAATTCCTACCTTTACATCCTTCCTAAATCTATCATGCAATTGAAAGAAGCAAAACCAATCTTTTATTCCCAATTCTTCTCTACTTTTAAGTGTCCATTGCCCTTTCTCTTCAACTAAATATTCTTCATAAGTTCTAGATTCAGTATGTGTGGCCGGTCTCTGCACAGCTTCCAGTGGACACAGCCATAAGGGGATTTTTGGCTCTATCCCCTTCTTGTACCTTTTCCACGTTGCCAAAAGGCTGGCTCTTATTATATGTCTATTGAATTCTTTATTCACCCTGTCCTTTTCATCCCATAGATAGGCATGCCATCCATATCTTAGATTATGTCCTTCTAAGTTAAGCAGTTCCTTATTTTCCAGTCTGATCCAATCCTTTAGCCAACTAAAGTTGGCTGCTTCATAATAGTATCTGAGGTCTGGCAGAGCCAAGCCCCCTCTGTCTTTCCCATCAATAAGGTTCCTATAAGCAATTCTGGCTTTTTTGCCTTTCCAAATGAAATTGACCAAATCTCTCTTCCATTTTTTGAAAACCTTTACTCCCTTGATAATCAGTAAGTTTTGAAACAAAAACAACATTTTAGGTAATACCATCATCTTTATAACCACTACCCTCCCTAACCAGGTAAGTTGAAGTCTTTGCCAGTTTACGAGGTCTCTTTTGATCTTCTTCCACGTTTTGTCATAATTATTTTGGTAAAGTTTACTATTTTTGTTGGAGAGCCATATTCCAAGATATTTTACTTTTGGCACTACCTTACAATTAGTTAGTTTCTCCAATTTAGCAATATTTCTTGTAGATAAGTTCTTAGTTAGAAATACTGATTTCTCTTTATTAATTTTAAAACCTGACACAGTGCTAAATTTATTGATAATCTCCAATAAAGTATGTGTGCTTCTTAAAGGGTCCATTAAAAAACAATCCACGTCATCTGCATATGCTTTCCCTTTAAATTCATACCCTTTTACCTTAACTCCTTTGATTTCACTTGCTTCTCTAATTTTTCCATTCAAGATTTCTAATATCCAAATAAACAATAG